TCTGCAGCATTGCAGGATTTTGTGTGACACCTCATGCTTTAGGTTTCGCTCTTCTAAAAAGTGTAAACAAGTCTCTTGAAAGCCAGGGCATACCTTTTCTCCTCAGCTTCTCAGCACTGTTTGTGTGCAGGGCCTGCAGACAATTTCAGGGCTCCTTGCAATCAGCCAGCCTTGTTTCCTTTCCATTCCTGGTGCTTGTGAATGAGCAGAAAGGGCATGAGCAATAGGAAAATTCATCCTTCTTTCCCTTCTATGTGTGCTTTTTACAGCTTTCTCACATGCTTTAATAGCAGAAAAGGCAAGTCAGTCTGCGGTCGTGGTCTTACTTGTGGCAAATTTCAGTTTACTGGTCTATGAGCAAGTACAGAGATGTGTTGTGGTCTTTCTCCACTTTTGTTGAGATGTTTTTGTGTTACTACTAGCTGTGTTAGTAATGCTCTTTCTATTTGGGAGTGATGGTGACAGGTTAAACGTTAGGGAGGGCCTCTCTCTTCCATCTACCTACCCAAACCATAATGCAGATATTTTAAGGAGTGCAAAGTTCCTGTGCAAAAAGACATCCCTGCTCTTCATGCAGGGATGTCCACTTCTTCTTCCAATCACTGTCCCAGCCACAAAAGTTTCTTCCTCAACGTGACTGCTTGGACCTTCTCAGAAAATGCTGATTAAGTGCCACTGGTCTCTCTTGAGCAGAAGAGTGCATCTAGTAATGTCAATCTTCATTTAGTCTGTGTTGTCTTTCAGGCTGCTAGCAGCACTGAGAGTACTTTTTACAAGGGTTTTATACCTGTGGAAAAAAATCAGATTCTTACAGATAGATTCTTGATGACTTGCTATCATTGTTAAAAGCAAAAGCAAAGAAATAAACGTCTTGGAATTCTAAAACATTCTTAGTGCCTTAGTAGTTTTGTTTTGCAACACCTGAATTTACAAAAATCTTGCAGTGTGCAGTTACAGAGCTACTTAAACTGAATGCATGCTCCTACTTGTTTTGAAACAAGAAACTAAAATCCGGAGAAACTTCCCCTCTTCAAAGACGACTTGAAATAAAACATAAAAAAAACCCAGCACAAAACCTAAAGGATTAGTATGATGCATTGACCAATCATGTATTTGGACCGCATTTACACAGAGAATGAATATTTCTTTTCTTTAGGTCACCAGCAAACAGGAATCATTGCTTTCTGGTGTATTAATACAGACAACACCTCCTGCGCCAGCAACGAACACCTTTTATCGGAAGATGACATTAGGTAGTCATCTTTTTACCTCCAGATACTCTTCATATCAATCTGTGGTCCTCCTTGTAAAACTTGGATCCAAGCGGGGACTTTCCTGGCTAGACCATCTCAGATTTGGATATCAGTGTGGGACACTCTTACCTGAAGTCCCCCTCACCAAGCTGAAGTGCGAATTTTCCCCAGGGAGAGGTAGGAGGGCATTGAGATTCTGTCAAAAATGTGCATTATGCTCATAATGCCTGGGCTCTTGCTCTGTACCTCAGCTCCCCTAGCTATAAGACATCAGGTTTTAAAAATAAGGTCAAGTCTCCGAGGATGCAGAAGATATCACTCTCTTCAGCAGAGATATCTTGAGCGCACCGTGATTTCTGAGAGTTCATAGGAGGATCAGAAATAAATTGACACAAAACCCCAAGGATGGCCTGTGAACAGTCTTCTTTTGCAACAAGCATACAAGGGATAGATGGAGGGAAAGGCACTGTCAAGGGAAAGGGAACAGCAGCATTGGTCAGTCATGCCAGTGCTCCATCAAGGAGTTGTCAGAGGACTCGATTGTCTGGAACAAATAAAGGGCTTCTTCATTTTTGAGCTTCATTTTTGTGAGAAGTGGCTTTGATTCAATGACTGTCCCATAAGATGGGCTTTTGTTAGGTTTTTGGTGGGTTTTGCTGCTGAATGGCTGTGAAAAAGAAAATCATCCTGGTAGCCTCTAACTTGGTGTCTCAGTGATAGTGCTTGCTGCATTGGGAGTGATTTCTCCATGATTACCAGTGGTACCTACATATGTCATTGCAACATGATTGCAGATACAACCACCCACTACATCACCTTCGAATGGTCTTATCAGTTATACAAATGCTAGAAATCTCACCACAATTTCCAGTCTCCTACCTAAATGCTTCTTTCATGACTGGAGCAGCAAAGTCTTGTTGAGCTCTCTGTAGGCACTGCCTTAAGCACCATTTTAATGATCATTTTGATTGACATTACTAAATGGCCCTTGATTTCTAACTGTAAATCAAGTCAAATTGAGATGCTGGCATAAGAGAGAGGAGTTGAAGAGGCTGGTCTCTGGCTGCATTGAGAGAGAGACTGGATAAAACTACAAACAATTAAGAGCTCCTGAATGAAAATGTGTGATGTAGATCTCTGCTGGCAGTTTGAGACTGGAAGAATCCTGGAAACAGAGGAGCACTGTAGTGTCTGTGAAATTGTACTCCCCTTCAGAGAGCAGGTGTGGAGAGCTAGTGCTGGGACTGTGGCAAGCAATTATATAGGGAGGAGAAGAGCAAATCCCTGTTGGCTCTCAGACTGAGAGGAGCAGATTGGGAGGAGGCTGCTGATCACAGTGCTACTTCAGCACAATTAAAAAGGATGAAGCTCCAGAGTAAAAGATAAATGTGTAATTCAGCTTCATGTTTAGGGAGGGATTGTTGTGGCCTAAGCACTGTATGAAAGCCAACCAATCAACTTGTTTTTACCTTTTCATCCTTATTTGTGTTTAGTATAATTAACTGATTTTCCTCTTCATCTACCTTTCTACGGCTGATTAGCAGATCTGAAGAGAGGATGCAGGCTGGCCTTCTGAGGAACCTTGATGTAAAAATGTGGGTTTAAGAATGAGTCAGCTTTGCTTCACTTAAATGTCTATCCATTCTCTTTCATGGTTCAGTGGGTCTGTACATACATCATTCATTGCTGGAAACTCTTGTTCAGCTAAAATGACACCTTTGTCAACTGACATTTTGAAAATCCCTGCTTTATTTTAGTCTGTATTAATTCCATTATCTCGTCCTTTCTCATCAGCAGATATTTCAAAGCCCTCTCTCAAAAGAGGAGTGTCATTATCCACTGCAGCTTGGTGCATGGTGGGGAGGGTTTGTTCCAAGTGACAGAGTAGGAAACCACCCAGGTTTGATGAGCTTCAGCCCCAGGACCTGTATTCTTGAGCCCATCATTCAGAGGTGAGCTCCTCTTTACACCCAATTCAGCAAACCTGCTCAGAGCACAACTTTCAGCTCAGTTGCTCGTCCAGCACACACACCGAGTAACTGTGAGCATTACAGAGAGAACTGGAAGAGGTTATTTGGCAGAGAGAAACAAGGACAACATTCACCTGTGGGGAGCTCTGGCTGCAACCAGGACCCTCTGCACCAAAGGCAACTGCGCACAGGCTGTGGGGCACAAAGCTGAGCAGCAACGTGAAGCACTTTTGAGTTTTGTGTGGAAAAGGGGCTTTACACTAGCTCAGTTTTATGGCAATGCTGCAGGGCCTCTGGGTGCAGCCTGTTAGTTCCACACATGAGCGGATTCGGCATCCTCGCTCAGCACAGGGTGTGCCCAGACCTGGACCAGCCTGCGAGCCATTCCTTGACACCGCTCTTAGCCCCGGATCTCTCCTGTATCGCAGTCATTAAGAGAGCCTGCAGCTTGCTTTTTCCTCGTTGACCATCATATTTGCCAGGCCAGCACAGGCAGCTCTTTCTTTGGTCTGGAAAGCAAAACTTCTTCTCAAAGCAAGACACCTTCTCAAAAGGACCTGTTTATTCTTACTGAGTAGAGGGGTCACAGAGTATGATCAGGAAAAAAGCAACTGTGTTGCCCTGTTGGACTTCCAGCTCAGTCTGTGCACTAGACCAGTGCATATCTCAGCAGTTCACAGTGCACTATCAGCATCACCATCTCTGAGGGCTGTGTGCTGTGCCAACTTGGCATGATATGTTGGGTTCGGTGACATCTGTGAGAATTTGAAACACCCGACATTTGAAATTTGTCTTCCTTTTCAAAATAAGTGATGGATGTCTTAACCCACTCTTTGCATGGATTTTTCCCAGTGATTTACTCAGTGGCTTCTAAGGTTTTGAGTAGTAAGAATTTATAGTCTTTTTCTTGGAAGTAAAGACACTTTCTTATTGCAAGTAATGTCTTCCCCAGCTATTCCCATTATCTGCATTAATGCAGATCCTTGCTTGCCAGCCTCAGTAAACTGCTAATGGTAACGCATTCCCCAAATTAATTATGATGGACATGTGCAAGTACGAGTATTTAAGTGTATTGCTTTTTATTTCCAGTCTTGTATCATGAAAGAGGTCATATGGAGGTGAGCTTCCACTTATGTTTCTTATTTAGCGTGATTAGTACAATGGCACTACAATATTTTTACATTTCTTCTCCCTTTTCTGATGCATTTTAATTTGTTTGCCCTTTGCAGCTTTGGCTGCAGCAGACATTTTGTTATTGACTGTCTTAGAAAATAAAATTCATCCTGCTGAATGGCTGTTGTCCAGCAGAAAGACACACCAGAAATATCTTCTAATACATATTTTTCAACCCTTACTTTGTATGCCACCACATTGCTGATTTTTGCCTGTTTTTTAATTAATTTTATGCCAAAATTTAAACACTGCTTTGTGAACTTCCTTCCTGTTCTGGATCGCTGATTAATATCATGTAGATCTGTGAGTGGCTACTGGGGCATCACACTGTTGCATTTTGCTGTTATCAAATGCAAGGATTTGTGTGGTTTCTAAGTTATGACCGACTGATTGTGTTACTACACAAACTCTGTTTTTACTTTCTTTCATTTTGCCACATACATCTCCAATGAATGAAAATTGAGTCTTGGGGTTAAGTACTTTTGGAACAAAGAACATTCACTTTAAAATAAATACTTTTAACCAAGATACTTCAAATTTATTCACACATGCTGCAAAATAAGCTTTTTAAAACACTTTTATTCAAAAATATTTAAAACTCTTTTTACGTTAATAAAACTACAGAATTTGTATCCTGAATAACAGTGATAAAGTAATTCAAAATGCCTATATATATACCTATGTATAGGCATATATGTCAACCTAAGAAAAAAACACGTCTACAACACAACATAATGGCTTTGCATGTTTGTGCACATAAAGAATATATTTTGTGTCCTTTTTCACTAATGTCAGACGGTGTATCCTCCCCCTCAGATGAAATATTTAACAGTAGCAAGTACTGTTAATGGATTCCTAAGAGTCACGAGTGAACAAGGCCTACATAGATCAACTGTAGAATAAAAAAAAAAAAAAAAGGTAATAACCATCCTTCTTGAATAAATGAACGTATTTTCTGAGCGTATGTGCTGATGACAAGCTGCTGTCTTGCCTCTGCCCATCCATCCAGGCCAATGTCTTGATGCTGGTGAAAAAGAAGCCACATGGCGCGGTGCTTTGCAGAGAGCTGAGGCTGCCCTTACAGCTGAGCAGTGATTTGTAATCCCAGCAGAGAAAACTTGCATGTCCCCCTCCCGTGTTTCTCATTTTGGACACCTTCTGTCATAGCACCCAGAAAATCTAGAGGCAGAAATAAAGCTGAAGTAAGTAATTACACGGCATTAACTTATTGTTAAATGCATCTGCATTTGCTTAGCTTTTCAAAGTTCTTGCTTTTGTCAGTTGCTTGCTGGTGAGTTCAGTGGTTGGTCTGAAACACGTTACAGAGCATCTTGATCCCCCGTAGACTGTGTGTGGAATGAACTTGTAGATTCAGTGTGGTAAGTGCTGTGAACTCCACACCACTTGCAAATATACCCAGGTAAATGCCAGTTCTTAAAGAGCATCTTCAGATACTTCTTAAATTTTTCCCCCATGAAGAAGTAGATGACTGGATTGAGGCCACAGTGAAAAAGGCCAAGGATTTCTGTTACCTGGAAAGCATAGTCCAGATTCCTGCTCACTTGACAGTCTCTAATGACTCCTGTAGTTTCCAGCAGTTGTAAAAAAATAACAATGTTGTAAGGGGTCCAAAAACAGAAAAACACAATCATGACAGCAAAGATCATCTTCACAGCCTTATTCTTTTTCTCATTTCTACAGTGAACTAATGTTTTAATGATCATGGAGTAGCAAAATGTCATAACTATAAAAGGGATTAGGAGCCCTAAAATGTTAATTTCCAAAGTGGAAAAAAGTTTCCATGTTGTGAAATTGCCTGGATATCTCAGCTTGCAGGTAGTATAATTATTTTCATTAAAAGACTCTCTAAATACAAGCTCAGGAACAGAGGCCAAGAAAGCTACGAGCCATATGGCAAGGCTAGTAACCAAGCCATGGAAAGCAGTCCTTGCTTTCAAGGAAAACACTGCACGAACAATTGCTAGGTATCTGTCTATGCTCATAAGCATAATAAAAAATATACCACTGTAAAACCCAACCAGGTAGATCCACGAAATGACTTTACACCAGGGAGTTCCAAAAACCCATTGGTCTAGCGCGAAATAAGACCAGAACGGCAAGCATAAAACAAAGAGCAAATCTGAGATGGCGAGGTTTAGCAGGTACACGTCAGTCATGCTCTTCAGCCTCTTGTATTTGAAGAGGACCACAATGACCAGAATGTTTCCAGTGAGCCCGACCAGGAATACTAGGCTATACAGAACTGGTAGGAAGGAGGCTGCAAATATCCTGACGCTTTCCTTACTGCACGGCTTTGGAGCATCGTTATAATTATCATAATACTCATAGAAGGTTGAGAGGTCAAGGGACTCTGTACTTGCAGAACTCATGCTTTTTCCCCAGTTCCTGAGAAGGAAAGAATATGAAAATGTCAGTGACTTTCGGTGCGTCAAGACCGTACGGTTACTCCGCAGCCCTGAATCACGAGCAGTGACTGACTTGCAGTTCCCGTGCGTGTCGTACTACAGGTTCTCAGGCATTATGTAAGCATTATGGGATGCATGTGCATGCTTGCATAATGTACTGCCCTTAACATGCACGTGCTGAGTCCTTGCAGCACTGCGCTACTCGGATGTCAAGCACACAATGAATGCGACACTGGATGAGAGGAAAACAAATGGGAATGAAAGACCACAGATATCAGATCCGAGAGGGTTTAAGTCCTGTGTGGAGTAAAGTAAAAAGCAAAGCCATTGTTCATAGCAGTTCAGGATTTTACCCACCTTTCCCACCAGGCAAACATTACCATAAGAAGAGAGTAATAAAAATGCATCAGACTTTTCCAATGAAATTACACTTACTGAAAGCTGAGATGAGTTTTTAGTGAGTGTTGTCTTCAGTAGCCAAATGACTAACAGGAATTTGTCATATGTATGCACTCTTTCTAATAGGTGGATACAGAGTTTTAAGTGATGTTACTTTGAGGTAACTTGCCCACCATACAAATATATTGTTGATGTATCACTATGTGTGGTATTCACATCACAGCAAGAGTCATTCTTTTAGTCTGACATACCAGAACTCCTGAGGTATTTTCTTCCCCTTTGTCCTTATTTTTATGAATAGAAAGCAGAAGAAAATGAGTTTCGTTGCTTTACTTGTCTTTACTTTGTACATTGCTGCAACATAACAGCAAACATTGGCTATCCTTGACATGACCCATACTGTGTGTAGTCCCAAGCAGGGCAGCTTTGCAGCCCAGAATTCTGTTCTACTATACACAGAGAAGAATTGAATCTGACTTACAGGTCAAAAGGACAAAACCATTTGACACCAAAGGTCTAGAGATGACAGCTTTGCAACAACTGCTCCCAGACATACCTGAATCTAATCTAGGTTCAGCATAATATACTCAAATATTTAAAACCAAAAAACATACGATCACAGAATGCGCATATACCCACTTCAAGAACTCTTTAAAGTGCTTTAAAAATTACCTGAGAAGCTAAAAAAGGTAAATGAAAAAGCATTACATTCACACACATCACGAGTGTACATGATACACAACTGTTTCAAAATTGCATTTTATGAATTTTACCTTTTCTCCTCCTTTCTTCTCAGATGATGTGAAGAAACTTCTTTGCTCTAAGAGTGCAGAATCACTTACTCCTCACCAGGTAGCTCTGCCAGGGAGTTGTTACCCACACAGCAATATCCAGCAGCTGCAAAAAGCAGATGTCTCTAGGTAGCTGTGTCTCATAGCGGAAGCTTCCGACTTCCTCACAGATTGTATCACAAGTGCTTCTCTCCTCAGTGCTCATCAGAGACAGTCCCTTTAAGTCAGAAATAGAATTAAACACATAATGTTTAAGAAAATGCAGTTTCCACTGAAAGGTTGATTACTGAGTTAAATCAGCTTAATCTTATCCAATAATCATTAAAATAGATGTCACTAAGCAGCTCTCATTTAAAAGAAACCTTGTTCTTTCTTACAGGTTGTAAAGTGCATCTTAGAAAAAATTAATCAAAGGATCGTTTGTAGTGAGCAGAGAGGAGGCAGGCACTTGGTGGGTGTGTGGGAGGTGTGCTTCTAGTTCTTCTCTGACAGATAACTAATTTTGCAACTTGCACTATGTAATTGTACAAGAAAAAAGCTATATAGATACAGGGTAGGGAAGGCTCCTTTTAATCACTGTTGTTTGATCTTCCTAACCTCTACTTATCTTACTAAGAAAAGAAATTAAGGCATGTTAATTCACGCTACCTTTTTGTTTGATGTTCCCTGTAGTGGGTTTTATATACAGCAAATCTAACTCCTACCACTGACCTGTACACACTGTAACAGCAGTCAGAATATCAGATAAGAAGTAGGATGTGCTCACACGCATGTCTGGTCTGAGGGCAGAGGGTGCTGAGGTTTACTGCGGTTCTTTGTTGCAGCGGGAAGCTCTGCAGCTTCTATGAATTTCTCCTGAGAGTGTGGTGGGCCTGTATTTGTCTTTTGGGGGATCCTGGAGAGGGAGAAGAGACCACAGAGAACAAGTGTTAGTCAAACGGAATGGTTTTGAGTCCTGCTGGCAGACCAGCTGTGCTGGTAGCTGGCAGGTGTTGCTCTCCTCTGCTTCCCAGAAAAGGCCAGCCAAGCAGAAGTACAAGCCATTTCTCAACTGCTTTCTTGTTAGCAGGAGAAACTGAAGACACACAATGAGAAGTAGAAACAAGAAAGCTACAGGAGGTAGTTGGGAGGGTAGGAAGAATCAGAGAGCTATCTCAGTCTAGGCTGCTACCTCATATGCCTCTGACACTGCTACTCTGCCCAATAACTTACATTTGGCTGAAGAGTTTCATAGAATCATAGAATCAGATGGGTTGGAAAGGACCTCTGAGATCATCAAGTCCAACCCTTGATCCAACTACCACCACAGTTACTAGACCTATGGCACTAAGTACCACATCCAGTCTCTTCTTAAATACCTTCAGGGATGGAGAATCCACCACCTCCCTGGGCAGCCCATTCCAATGCCTGATTACCTTTCTGTAAAGAATTTCTTCCTAATAGCTAACCTAAACCTCCCCTGGCAGAGCTTGAGATCATGCCCTCTCGTCTTACTGATAGTTGCCTGGGAAAAGAGACCAACCCCCACCTGGCTACAACCTCCTCTCAGGTAGTTGTAGAGAGTGATGAGGTCTCCCCTGAGCCTTCTCTTCTCCAGGCTAACAACCCCAGTTCCCTCAGCCTCTCCTCACAGGACTTGTGCTCAAGAACCTTCACCAGCCTCATTGCTCTTCTCTGGACCTGCTCCAGCACCTCAATGTCCTTCCTGAACTGAGGGGCCCAGAGCTGAACACAATACTCAAGGTGTGGCCTCACCAATGCAGAGTACAGGGGAAGGATCACTTCCCTGCTCCTGCTGGCCACACTGTTCTTGATCCAGGCCAGGATGCCATTGGGCTTCTTGGCCACCTGGGCACACTGCTGGCTCATGTTCAGCTTCCTGTCGATCAGCACCCCCAGGTCCCTTTCTACCTGGCTGCTCTCCAGCCCCTCTGTGCCCAGCCTGCAGGAGGTTGTTGTGACCAAAGTGCAGGACCTGACACTTGGCCTTGTTGAACCTCATCCCGTTGGAATCAGCCCAACTCTCCAGTCTGTCCAGGTCCTTCTGGTTCTTCCAGAAAAGCTTGATGTGAAAACAGCGTCTGATGTGGGATCTATTGGTTTCGCATTTTGCCAGAATAAAACAATTGTACGAGAAGGAGCTTCAAATCTTTCAAAATTTATGTATGTGGAGATTTTTAAATTGGTCTCTGAGAGACGTTTGTCCAGTGCAGGTTATTGCTCTGTGGATCGCGTACATTTCCTCTGCAGTTTACTAGCAGTCCTTTAAATATGGGGACATCAGATAAGCAGGCAACATGGTGGTACCAGTTTCATCAGCTCTGCTCACAGAAACTAGAAACTGTTCCTCTTGCTGCTCTTTTGTCTGTGTAAGGACCTAATTAATCTCTTGCTGCAAAGGGCCACAAGTTCAGCTCTTCACCCACAATAACAACAACATAAAATCTTTCTTTAAGCCCCTACTTTTCAGGAACAAAAAGACCTCTTGCTCTGTAGGCATTGTTCTTTTCTAGTTTTGGCTGTAATGTTTTTGCCTCAATATGCCACCATGCATCTGCATGCTTATCTTGTCCCACTCATTATTTTCAACTCTATCAAACTAGATATTTTCTCTGAATTTCACTGGTGGTAATTTTTCTTGATTTCCAGATGAAGTAGTGAATAGAACTGAATCCAGATATGATCTCTCTTCAACCTTAGAATCACAGAATCATAGAATCAGATGGGTTGGAAAGGACCTCAGATCATCAAGTCCTACCACTGTCGTTACTAGACTATGGCACTAAGTGCCACATCCAGTCTCATCTTAAAAACCTCCAGGGACAGAGAATCCACCACTTCCCTGGGCAGCCCATATCAGGGGGAATGTAAGAACCCTGCTTTGCTAAGGAATGATTTCCCATCATTAACAACCTTTTGAGATCTGTTGACCTGTCCTTAGCACTCAGATCACACTTCAGATGTGCTCCTTATCTTCCAGTCACACTGTTAGCAGGGAACAAGTCTGCATCCTTATGAATGCCAGGTTAGTTTGATCCATATGGCACTGACCTGAAGAAAGTACCTTCCTGGCATGTTGCCTTTTGACCAGTCCTTTGGAAGGCTTTCAAGTAGCAAATACTTCCTTAGCAACTTTTTGTATCCACTCGCCACCTGATGTGCAAGGTTGGGCTGATACCACCAGAGGAGCAGAGCAGCAAAGACTCCTTGTCAGGGTGTGTTTGTGTGACTGTGGTGGGATGGATGGAGGGTAATGGCTGGACCACAGTGTCTTGCAAAGCAGCTGCTGTGTTGCAGACACCTGCCATGACACCAGTGCACTTCATGCTGCATCAGCAAATGGGAAAGCCTGTCTTTGTAAAGAGACTGAGCAAGAGCACTTCTGCAGAAAGAGAAATGCTCAGCCACAAAAAGAGATAAATGGTTGTGGCTACAGATGATGAAAATCTGTGATCAACTACAGAAATTGAAGATTAAAAAAGAAATCTAGTTCATGAAAATCAAGAGGAAAAGAATGAACCCTGAAACACCTTCTGATGGCCTACCAATGAAGAGTCCCTGGGAGAGCCTACAAGGAAAACGACAGAGAAGATTTAAAAAAAAAAAAAAATTAGCAAACAAGACAATGCAGAAAATAGAGGAAAAGTATTGTGAGTGCAGGTCCTGCAATGGCTTGGAGAGAAAGAAGAGTGAAAGGAACTGAATATAATTGTCGTCTCTAGCAAGGGACCTCCGAGGTCCCCTTCTAACATGGCAGCCTGTCTTTTCCAGGTCCTTCTTGAAGAACGTGGCAAAGACTAACAAAAAGGGAACGGCAGGAGATGGTGAGATTAAGAGGAAAGGGGGAAGGGTTCTCAGTGATGCTGCTGTAAAACTAACATGTCTGCAGGGGAAAGGGAGAAGTAAGAAGTTGTCTTTCCTCTTTACTAGATGGCATCAGGTATGTGGTACTGTCCAAATAAATCACGAGAGTGCAGAGAGGTGGATCAAACATGATTAGAGGTGAACCTTTCATATGGGTGGGTGAGGTGGGGCAGGGGGGCCACCATTAAATCCAACAGGAAGGAACCTAATAAAAGCAGAATGCAGAAACACCCAAACCATGAAAATCTTGCTTCTCATCAAAAGATGATTTCAGCCATTCCCATCATTTATGGGAAGTCTTATAATTAATTTACCATTTAACAGGGTGCATAAGATTCTTTCCCAAACAGGGACTGGAGATAGACATTTATCTAACCTGCTACCGAGGCTGTGAGATACTCACCACTAATATAAAAGTGCACTTCACATTCCGTCTGATCTCAGTGTTGGCCAGGGTAGATGATTCAGAGTGTGTTTATTTGACAAGCCCTCATTCAGAAGGGGCTGGCCCAGTGATGCTCAGAAGCAGATGACAGTAGATAAAGAGAGATGACTATTGCAAAATCAGTATTTTGACTGATTGTGTGGATCAGTGCAGGATCCAGGCTACCAAAGTCACAGACGGACAAATGATTACCTTTCTCAACAAACCATCCTCTCCATCAGGCAACCAGCTCCTTCCTGTGTGGTCAGGCCTTGTGCAGTTCTTTTGCAATTCAAGTGATTTTGGATCGCAGTTTGCACATCTGTATCTCCCATCCTTGCTTGTTAGCAAAAAGTTTGTGCTACCTGTTCCTTGTAGAGTTTGCTTCCTTGCAAGTTTCAGTGTAGTCCAGATTTCCTGTGCATGAGTAAAACTGCAGCACTCTTGACAGAGAACTAAAAAAAGGGAAGCGAATACATTTCCTAGTCTTAAAGACAACCACTGTGTACACTAGTTGCCAGTGACTCACTCATAAACATTCTGAATGCATGAATCCCCTTTGGCTGTGATAACTGTTTGTGCTGACAAGCAAAAGATTTAAGCCCCAAACATCTTTTCCTTGCTCAACACTAAGCTGCAATTTTCCTAATCTTTTTTTTTCTTTCAGTGGTGCAGTCCTGTGCATTCTGCTGTTTGTATCCACTGGTGATTCTGTGAATGGTATCAGCATCCTTTTCCTCAGCCTGATTTGCTTTCTTTCCACATGCTATGCTTGCAAAGCTACTAGATTCAGAACCCTTCATTAAAAAAAAGAACTGAAACTTCTCACCTCAAACATGA